CTTTTGGTTAACATACAGCCATCTGAATGAAGTGATTTTGTTGGTTTGTGTGTGTGTGTGTGTGACATCAATTTCTAACGGTTTGAAGAGTCTTTAATCACCTGTTATCATTCTATTTCACAGGTTCTCATCAGCTGCAGACTACCTGAAATTACAATGGTTATATAAATGATAATAACATACTTTAATGTTTGATTAGTAGTAGAGAAGAGATAAAATTGACGCATCCAAAAAAGAATGAAGGCATTACAATTTTAGTTTAAGTTATCATCATCAATTTATACACTTTCAGAGTTGAAAAGAGGGGGGAGGGGTAAGACAGAAAACAGAAAAATTGATTAACAGAAACAGTGTTAGCTTGTAGGTTCACATGGCAACTCCAAATTCGACAATCAACTCTACCGACAAATTGATGGGGTCGCTATGGGTTCACCTCTGGGACCTATCCTGGCTGATATCTTCATGGGCTACCTTGAACAGACACAACTAAGTTCTGCTATCAATGGAACAACCTACTATCGCCGATATGTTGATGACACATTTGTTGTTTGCAACGACATGGATCACGCATCGGCATTATATGATCGCCTAAATGAGATTCATCCAAATATCAAGTTCACCATGGAATATGAACATAAAAATGAGTTCAATTTCCTGGATCTAAATGTAAAAAGAACAAACGAAGGCATAATTGAAAAGTCCATCTATAGAAAAGAAACCTGGACTGGACAATATCTTCACTATAACAGCTTTTGTCCCATAAGCTATAAACGTGGATTAGTGAGGACTTTGTACGACAGAGCCAGGAAGCTATGTTCACCAAACAAGGTCGAAGAAGAACTAGATTTCATCGAGAAATGCCTTAGGGAAAACGGATATCCTAAAGGCTTTATACAGAAGTACAGCAGAGAAAAAGATAAGAAAGAAAAGCATCCAACTGTAGAAAAGAAAAAAGTGTTTATTTGTCTCCCATTCAAAGGAGATGCAGTTTCACAAAAGATTGACAGAAGACTGAAAGGAGCAATAAATAGAAGTTTCCCGGCAGCAAAACTCATAACAGTATACAACACCACTCCTTCCATGATCCACTCAAAACTGGATAAATACCCTGCTGATGTCACCTCCAACTGCGTTTATGAATTTACGTGCACTTGCGGGAGCAAGTACATTGGAAGGACAGAAAGAAGGGCTTCTATCCGGTTTTCTGAACATATTCCAAGAAATCTATGCCTGAAAGGAAGAAAATATTCTCAGAGTGCAATTACCAGACATATTGTTGATACCGGACATCTCGTAGAGATCTCTAAGTCCTTCAAAATATTAAATAGACAAAGGACAGCAAATTTACTACGATTTGCCGAAGCGATCGCAATCAAACGATTTAAACCAGACTTATGCATACAGAAAGAGAGTGTGATTAACCTCTCACTCCCTTGGTAACTGATTTTGATTAGTCATCAGTGATCTCAACTCACTGAGCAAATCTCAATCTTATAAACTGTAAATGCTTTTGTTTTTTGGAGTTGCCATGTGAACCTACAAGCTAACACTGTTTCTGTTAATCAATTTTTCTGTTTTCTGTCTTACCCCTCCCCCCTCTTTTCAACTCTGAAAGTGTATAAATTGATGATGATAACTTAAACTAAAGTTGTAATGCCTTCATTCTTTTTTGGATGCGTCAATTTTATCTCTTCTCTACTACTAATCAAACATTAAAGTATGTTATTATCATTTATATAACCATTGTAATTTCAGGTAGTCTGCAGCTGATGAGAACCTGTGAAATAGAATGATATCATTTTATACTGCAAATTTCGTCTTCCTTTCTTTATCGAAATTTATCAAGGGAACCAGTTGTATGAAAATCACCTGTTACGTAAATAACTTGAACACTCGCTCACTCCATAATTTTTCCTCATTTTCCGAAATTATGCATTGTGCAATCCACTTGTTGTCACCATTTCTACCCTTTAATTGTGTGTGTGTATTAATTTTCTTGACTAGCTATCATCCTCACCACTCACTGACATGTTGATCCTGACTAATTATGTGTTAACAAACATATCAGTGCCACTTGATTGCTAACACATGTTGTGTACTGTATTAAAGAGAAATCCTATACATGTGTGTATATTAGAGTAGAGTGGAACCAGAGTGAGATGAGGATCAAATTGAAAAGCAAATATTTCTTCACTCAATATTTTTGCTTTCTCAACGAGTACATCAGTGTCTTGACGACTACTTCGCACAAACCCAGTCAGTCGGACAGCTCACACACACACACACGTGTGTGTAAATTTTTCCGTCCCAGAGCTCAATGCAGTGCCTTGCCCCTCCAAGTCCTCAAGAACTAGATCGACGAGGAATCTCCTGACACTCGTGAAGTGAATTTTGCAAAACCTTCCTGTTGACCAAGTGACCATACATGTTTAGGTCTAGTGCGCATTCCTCTGAAACACAGCACACATTCAAGGCTTGAAGTGAGAGAGTGAGAGAGAGAGAGTTCTGACTAGTAAGGCTTGTCATTCGATTTAGCGAAAGGTCGCCAAAATGAAGTTAGCAGCATGGCTGTAAGAGTTAGTTCATCTGTAGTGTTTTCAGGCTCCTGTCACTATTATTAGTTGAAAGTGGAGAACACACCTGAGGAAGAGTGTTAACATTAGGAGAGAAGAGCAAAGAGATAGTGGTGGTTAATGGTTAGGAAGGCTTACTGTGATTGTGGAACTGTGTGGGCAGTTATTTACTTCTCATCTACCTACGCCGTGGAATTTGATTTCTTCTTCAAACTTCTGAAACAGAAGTAGCATCAGTGTTGAATGGCTTCAGAGCCCACAGAACAACTGCCTAAGATCGATCATACATGTCAGGTTTGAATTGGTCTCCGGAGCTGTGCGCGTATACCGAGATGCTAACGCCCGGCTGAGGTTAACTGTAAGTTAAATCGGGATGTACGATTTCTCGATTCGCACACTATGAAACACTCAGTTATGATTATTTTATCTAATAATAATAATAATAATTTCTGATGGCGAGCTACCTAGAATGGTGGCCACATTGCGAACCTGATTGATAGAATTCAGTCTGCACCAAACAAAGGACTAGACACGTCACACTAGTTACTAGTGTCCAATGAAAATACCAAGTACAGTCCTACAGGAGGTCAATCGCGAGCCAGCCCGAATAGCTTAGTGGTAACGTCTCTGATTGCAGCACTGGGTAACACGGGTTCGAATCTGCGGATGGTCGTGAGTTCCTTCAAGATAGCAGATACGCCTTGCTCACTGGTGGGTGACAACAAGCACGAAATCTAGATCCACTTAGGGCTCCTGTCGACTGACTTCGACTATCTAATATCAACAATTGACATTACATCATGATGGCGGCCACATTGCAAACTTGGTTGTTGATAGAATTCAATCTGCACCGAGCAAAAGACTAGACAAATGACACTACTTGGTGACTAGTGGTCAATCGAAGTATTCAAGTGTTCTTTCTGGTCAATCATAATTCACAGACAGCTCTCCTAAGAATGTACATGGTGTTGCTACTCAGATATGTATGCGAAAATGAATGGCAACTGACAGAGAAGCCAAACAACAGTCTAGGTAACAACACCACCATTGATTTATAGACCTGGTTTTCTACATGTACTTTTACATGTCTGTTTGTAATTCTCCCAACCCACCTATTGATCTATAGACCTAATCTTCTCTCACCCCACTTATGACCTAGAAATCTTATCGATTGTTGACTGTTTTAATTTGCCAATGTCATTAGTTTCTCTCAGGGTCATTTAATAAAGCATATATACATGAGCAAGCGCTGTCAATCATCTTGACTGTTGATGCGAGACAGTGAAAGCTGCCCATGTCAACGGTGTGTCTTCTCTTCTTGCTTCGCGTTTTCGGTGTTATCGTATGGTATTGTATTGTGTTGTTGTTGCTAATAGTGGTTAGCACTATAGGCTCTCGAGTCGACTAGACAGGAGATTCGTTCGCAAAACTAAAAGTGCATTAACGGTGACACTAACCATATATTGAGTGAACAGATGAGAACTGATAATCCTACTTCTTCAAGTATTGATTTGTAGGGATTTGGGTTGATTGGTTACAGGATTTGATCATGAGCTGACATTAGTTAGAGAACCATTGGAAAACCTACAGGGAGTACTGGACAGCTGTTTCGTTCTAGTTTGGGACTCTTCGGCAGTACGTACCCACCCAGACTAGCGGTTGCGCTATACCGTGAATTGGCAGAAGTTAGAGTTCATGGGCCACTGGATCGGGTCCCAGTAGCTTAATGAACTACGAGCTCACCTTGTAACCAGAAGGTCCTGCGTTTAAATCCCGGTTGGTGCGTACTGATGAAGAGTCCCAAACTAGGACGAAACAGCTGTCCAGTACTCCCAGGTTGCTTTTCTAATAGTTCTCTCCCCAATGTCAGCTCATGATGAAATCGTGTAACCAATCCTACTTCTGTTTTGATTATTACGAAAAAGAAGCACAACAATCACGGAAAGTATTTCCTACAGGTTACCGCACAGAATTTTATCAAACAGCGGCCCATTTCTATGGCTGACTACACAACTGCGGAAATCAGATGGCCGACCAGAGAGAATTAACCTCAAGAAACTTGGAGGACGACGAACCAATCTGATGTCCAACAAAAATTGGCGAAGAAAGTGGAGATGGACCGGGGACACACGCACGTTGAGAAGATCGTCGAATGACATTGTGCGCCAAAGTCATCATCATTCTAGTTGAACCCGAATGGGAAACAATAAGGTGGGTGTGTAGTTGCAGTTCGAGGATAACATCGAGGCGATCGTGTGAAAAGGGCACGAGAATCCAGCTAACGAGAACTGCGCAGAGACTAGGATGAAGTAGCGATGTATTGTTCCATTCAAAATCTAACGGAACAATAACTGTGCTAGCGCGACATTGACGCAATAATCTCTTCCATGAAAATGTTATACCGACATAGTAAAATGTTTTGAAGTTTTGATGAGGAACTTATTTATTTATAAAAACAAACATGGATAAACGCATAAAAGTGAAATTCTGGAAGAGATTTAGTTAATTTACAGGATTCAGACACCCGATGAAGTGGTATCTTCAATGTTCATGCCAACGATTCATTACCACCATGAAGGGGGCGCTTCTAGCTTGGATTGGAAAAAGTTGAACACATGGTCTAATACGGTGGCAGGAATCAGATCACTATCAGTTGTACCTGATTAAAAAGATAAAAAAAATGAACGTTGACGATAATAAAGCAAAATTATAGTAATATTTATTATTTCTATTTTTTGGTTTTTATTCTTTCACGTTCCCAGTGGAACGAACATAGGGCTTCAAGTTTCTGTAGCAGTGTTTACTTATACGGGGGTTGCCAGCCTTATGCCCAACCTTTCCTCTTTACCAGCTTTATTTAGTGGCTTAGCGAGGTAAACTAGAGCATCGGACGGGAATCGAACCCAGGACGGCTGGGCGAGCGTCCTAACCGATGTGCCACCGACGCACATTATTTCTATGCGCCGATTTGAAAAACGCGCTCGCGAACACTACCCAGCCTGGATAGTAAAAAGGAGACCGAAAACGTGTATACAGTTCAGTGACAGAACATCTGGTCAACTCAGGACATTCAGCGCCTTTCGAAAAATCCTTCAAAGTAATACACAAGATTCAATCAAACCTATCAAAGGGGGTCAAATCAAGACATCTGGGCATAGCTGAGGCACTAGCTTTCCAAAAGCTCAAGCCCACGCTTTGTATCCAAAAGAAATACGTCCAACCCCTGTCCCTGCCATGGCCATCATTAACAGGTAAAGTTTTTTTAGTAATGGCAATCTCATCGCCTTTCTTATCTAAACTTCCTGTTTATTTATGTTATTTTAAGTTTTTCTTAATCCTTGTCTACACTACCATACTTTCGTATCCACACTTCCTGTTTATTTTGTTATTTTACTATTTCTACATATTTAATCCCCGATTGCATAAACAATTATTCATCATATTAGCTTTTTATCCAAACATCCTGTCTATCTATTTTGTTATTTCTACATTTCTAACCCCCAATTGCACAATGTCAATCTACTTAGATATTATAATGCTACTTTGTTCGAGTTTTATCCGTCCCACTGCCCCGTTTATTATGGCATACTAATTCCTAATTGTAATTTTTATTAATTTGACCCTTAACCGGAAATTATTCTGGAACTTTCCCATCCATTTGATATAAATACACGAATGTACAGCGTAGATGATGACTTCGTCGAAAAGAAAATTTTCTTCTTCGCTGCAACTGTCTTTTTAAGATTCATTCAACATTACACTGCAGTATGGACATGAATTAGGCTTAGAGAACGAACGAAATTTCTAAACACACACACAAAAAAAAGATTTTTACTTAAAATGATTATAACTGAGGCTGGTGTCCCTCAAGGTGCTGTCCTTTCTCCTTTTCTGTTTTCTTTCTTCTTGCATGACTTGCCTCACTCTCATAACGAAATGAACTTTGTTAAGTATGTCAATGATCTAACTATTTCAATGTCTGTTAACTCTCAGCGAGCTAGACTGTGCTAAGATGAATAGCTTTCAATCAGGAGTTAACAAGTGGTCTTCGTCTAATGGTCTATCTTAACCTAAATCCTTCCAAATTATTGATATAAGTATAAAACTTGGGCACTGTGGTAGAGCATAACTCCATAATGGATAAGATTTTATTTTGATAAATCACACAGTGTTACACAGTAATATCAACTGATGACCACGTTTCGAGCATAAACTATTGCCACTCATAATCATATCAAGACACTCACTCACACAACTTTTTTTTTCCTTCATTTATATACATGTGTTGAATCGATGATTAGACATTTGAATACAAATCAGTACTATAGGATAATGTACATTCAGGAATAATAATAATGATATGAGTGTTATTGATCAATTGCAATCACATGGGAAATAAGACGAATGTTCTTATAGTTATAATAAGTAACGTGTTAGGATGTTGTGATGTGCTTAATTGAAATAGAATTTTGAGATTATTTATTATCCTCTTCTGATTTGACTGACTGGTGGTAATAATATCTTCCATATTTCTGGTACTTGCATTGAGTCATTTCTGTTGCATGTATTGGGTGTACACTCAATCAACAAGGATTCCGTAATCAACCTCTCTCTCCACCTACCTATGTTGATCTTTACAATTTTAACCCTATCCCACCCTATTGTGTGGTTGTTCGTTAATGCGTGAAGTGCAATTGCTGAGCTTTTTTCTAAATTACTTATCTTTTCAGGGTCTAATCGATTCAACAAGTGTATATAAATGAAGGAAAAAAAAAGTTGTGTGAGTGAGTGTCTTGATATGATTATGAGTGGCAATAGTTTATGCTCGAAACGTGGTCATCAGTTGACATTACTGTGTAACACTGTGTGATTTATCAAAATAGAATCTTATCCATTATGGAGTTATCCTTCCAAATGCCAGACAGTTAATTTCAGTTTCTGATGTGAGTAAAAGAAAGTTAAATGACGAAGCTGTTGGTTCCTATGACCGTTGCGAAATTGATGATAGTGATATAGAAATCAAGTCTGACATTAACAGTTCAAGATTTCATTGACTAAACACCATATCCATCATAAGATGGAAGGAATAAAATTTCTCTATGATAACAGACAATCACTCGCACACACACACACACACGGGCAATGTTAGCTGACACATAGGGTCAGATTGGAAAGCAGCTAGCTGCAGTCAAACCAAAACATGACTTCATCATCAGTCAATGAAGAAATCCACAACAGTTATTTTAAGTCAGACAGCTAGCCACGTAGGCAGGTGTAGACTGGCTTCCTGGTTGGTCGGGGTCCTCGGGATGACGGTAAAAGCCAATGGAGGCTGGAAACAATTGGTGATGATATGGCCGGCTCAAAATCGTTCTCAATGGCTGGCTAGCGCAGATGCATCCACTCCTTGTGACTTATGACTTCCAATGAAACTATATTGTTCTTCGTTATTACTATACCTTTGTCTCACCACACCTCTGTGTTTACTGTCTCTCTATTATGCATTTCTTCTACTTTCTTCTCTTGCTTTGTGTGCTACATGGAGGGAGTGTGGCGACTTTAACTGCCGAACATCGGTGCAAAGTGGTTCTGTGTCGAATACAGACAGACAGACAGACATTTATACGAAGACACCCACACACACACACACACACATATTTACGCATACTTACCAGAGGACAGTTTTGGAATTGCATACTTTGGTTCATTATCATCACCACCATCATAATTATCATTTTCTGGATTCAATTGAGTGCCTAACTCAACATCCGCTGCTACAAAGTTCACTGTAGTCTAAAAGAGTTTGGAGAGAGAGTAATAAAAAAATGAAAAACAACAACACAAAGCTTGGCTGTAGTATGTACACCATACGTGTTAGCAACAAAGTACCAGTCAAGTGCGTGTGTCTATATTGTTAATCTCTGTGTTTAAAATCGAATGTGTGTTCTCCTAATTAGTTAACATAATAATAATATAGTTCATCTTATATGTACAGCTTGAAATGAAATTCTGTTGAACAAGAGTAGACGAAGAAAAAATCCTTGACCAAAGGTTCTGTTGAAACACATACACACACAACAAAAAAAGGAACAAAAACGAACTGATACCAAAGTATTATGATAGTCACTATCATCAGAACAGAATGATTTTGAGTGAACAATTTTGTTTTCGATAAATTCTTCGCATAGTGATATTTGTTAGCAAAATGGAGAATATCTGAAAAATAATGCGATGTGATGTGATGTATTTGCGCAATGCAAATTGTGAACAATCTGAGCCCCCCCCCCTCACACACACATTTACTTGTCAGTCAAGTCAATTATTATATATGAAGCCCAACCGATGATAGCTGCTACCTTGACGTGGTGGTCGGGCGGGCGGGCTTTCAGCACACATCATGATGACCCGACAAGCTACACTGGCTGGAACCAATGTCCCTGCATGTCCCACCATGACAGGAAGGTTGTTAGGACAGCGATTAGACTAAAAGCAGTTACCGGAATTGTGGAAGAATCCTTCTTACACTATGCTTAGGGGTCTGAGGGCGAAGTCGTACTACTGGGGAACAAGGATCTAACAGCAGTAAGGCGATGTTGCCCTCAGATGACCAGCATACCAGCCAGCCAGCCAGCCAGCTATGCTGTCTCTCCACTCCGGAAAGAGGGGGTTAAAAAGCTCGACCCCAAAAATTGTACATCCCGACTTACCCCACCTACGGTGGTCCGTAACTGGCGGTAAGTTTACTAATACGGAACCAAACCAAGAAACCAGTTCATACAGGCCTTGTGTTACTGACCGGCCCGGTTCAAGCAGTTGTCCCCTGGGCTCTGCGGTCACGCAACACTCTAACCCTCTCTCTGTTTCAGGTACTCGAAGAATCAATCAACTTCCACGGTGTGGGCAGCCGGGAAGTAACAACCACCCACACACTTCCACTTATATATGGAAAAAAATAAAGGCCAATTAAAGTACAGAAACGGGGACAAAAGGATTCAAGGATAAGAATAGTAAGAATAATTACGAAAACACTGGGTTATCCGATCAGATAAGGATAACACCAAGGTAGGTATAAAAGAGCTTTAGTGAGCAAGGCGCCGAACACACACTTGATGAGGAATAAAGATACCTGACACAAACTCTGGTTGATAATAATTATCCAGACAACTTCATTCTGTCTGTCCGGATTCAACATAGAACTTGGGACCGAAGTGCAGCAGTTCGAGTTGCCACGTTCCACACACACACAAACGTAGACAAGAAAATAAGTGAAGAGAATCAATAGTTTTGACAAGTATAAGAGTGGAACAGAATGAGTAATGGTAGAAAGGAATATGAAAGATTACACAAGAGACTGAATACATCTGCGTAAGCCATTGACAACGATTTTGAACCATGTCACACCTATTGTCTGTCTCCAGCCATTGATTCTTAGAGTCCCGAGGGTGGGCCCCAACCAGAAAGTCTGCATCTCCCTCCCTACCTGACTCAGTTTAACTGTCAGGGATTTCATGGATTGATGAGGCCATGTTTTTGTTTGGCATGGCATCACCTACTCTTTTCCAACCTGCAACTATGTCATCGAGTAATGACCGTCGGGAGGGGGAGGCGATGGTTAGGCATACGCAGCACATCACCTAGCCATCTCAATCTATGTGACTTTATAGCCTCTTCGATTGGTTTTTCCCTCTTTGCCCAACACTCTACGCCTAACGTCAACATTACTTACCTAATTATGCCACCTAAAGTGAGAAAGAGATCGTAGACATCTATGATCAAAAACACTCAACTTTTTCATGTCTTCAACTAGTATTGGCCATGTTTCAGAGCCATAGAGAAGGACGGAGCGAACTGCTGAGCAGTACACACGTCCGTTGGTTGATAGCCGGATGTTACAACTTCATTGCGAGATATAGAGTGGTCAGGGGAACACCATGACCCACTCTTGAACTCGCCACTAACAGAGACGTTTGTATCAAGCTACCCTACGCATGAGTGGTCACAGTAGCTTGCTAAATCAACAACGGTCTTTTTATGCAACTGAGATCATAGTAATTGTGAATGTGAAGCCGATATATCCATCGAAGCCCTTAGAACCTGAGAAAAATGATACCACATCCCATTGTATTCTAAGTCAACGAGACAGGTCAATCCTTGAGTCGCTCAAGTGACTTAGGGTTAAGTCCATTAGCATGTGCATCTGTCATGAAACTAAGCAGAGATGGGAACAGTCGGCATCTGTCGAATGAACACTATTGATTATCATCACATATGACAACTCTCCGTAGGATCTCATCTCACTGGATGACTGTATGTGAGTTCAAGTAGAGTGAGTGCATTGATCTGTGGGATGTATTTTCCCACCATTCCCTTCGTGACAGCCAAGCATCACCAGAGTACCCCTCAGACGACATAATCGAATGCCGCTTTCACGTCAACAAATGTGACGATTGTTGTACGGTACGCCAACGGTAAGTATGCCCATGTTCCGTTCCAGAATCTGTCGAAGGGTGAAGATATCACCAATACACCCTCTTCCTGCTCTAAAGCCTGTCTGCTTCTCTCATGTGTGTGCCTCATGAGCACCACTTAGTCTAGGCATTATTATTGGGCCTAGGACTTTAGATACCGTGTAAGATGAATTCAATTCCCATCCTTAAATCAAGTCAACCTGTCCCGGATCAGCCTAGCATTGTTGCAACACAATTATCCATGCCTAACGTGTCTATCTCACCTTGTTTAATGAACTGTGTATGTGTGTTTTTACTTCGATCCGTTTAGTCAGACAGTTGAACTAATGACCCAATCAGAGTATTTTTGTGAACTGTTATTTTGCTGACCCATGTCTTACTTTGTATTATTCTGTTGAGTTTATCTTATTTATTTATTGGTTAAGTAGCCAATTAAATTCTATCTTTGTGCCTATGCTCTGTCTATCTCTTACTTGGGTTCATTCTTCTACTGACTGCTTACCTGAACGGTCGTGTCTGATCCGGCTAGTTCGTAATTTTGGCTTTAACGTTATTCCGCTCTGATAGCGGTTCCTTGCTTTCTGTTAAGCATTGTGTATTGTACTCTTGAAACCGTTAAGGTTTGTTGTACATATATATTTATTGATTTGTTAATTAACAGTACCGTAGAGACAGTGACCGGCTTCTTGTTTGTTCTGGACCGGGATAGCCTACATCTACGCGTGACTTAATTTCAAGCAATATTGCGCTTACATACCGTATTAGTCAAGTTAATGCCCCTGTGATTATCACAGGAAGACTTGTCTCTCTTTTTGTATATCCGGATAATCAATGACTTACACCAGTCCGATGGGGCATTCTCTGATTCCCAGACGCTGCCTAATACCTCAGTTAACGTAGGAAGTCAATTGTCTCCGACTTCTTTAAACACCTCTGTAGTTGTTCCACCATTAGGTTCCGCTGCTCTGCTTCGTTTCAGATTACTCACAGCTTTCGTAACTTCAGTTCGGGATGGAGGACCTGTGTCTATATCCTATTCAGGGAGGTGTTTGATGCTGGATGAATTCAGCATGGCTGTAGGCCAATTGTGAATTGCTCTTCAAAGTGTTACTTTCAACGTTCCAGAGCCACCCTTAATTAAGGGTGCCATTTTTCTCAGAGATAAATTCATCGATACAAGAGTAAAAACATAATAAAAAGGGTATAAACAACAACAACAACAACAACAAAACAGTCAAATAGTCTCATACTATCTCTATGACAATCGAACACACACACACACACACTCATACCTCAGATAACCATCGTCTGAATTGACTAACTCTCTCTGGTAACTTTCCTTGATACACCGAAGATCTACATATCACTGGAATTTCATCAAGAAGACTTTCTTCTTCTAGTAGATGCAATCCCCAACCAATACCTTCTCTTGATATATCTAAAGCACATGATGCATCCGTGAATACAACAGCTTTAGTACGAATTCTTAATTCACACCACAGTCTCCGTGCTTTACGTTGCCATGCTCTGGCTAAACGTATCCGGAATAGTTCACTTGCATTATCATCATCATCATTATCGTCTATACTGGAAGTGGACCATATTCCAACATCTTGAGAAATAACACCACCATTTTCAGCGAAATGTTTTGCATCGGAGATACTCCCACTGGGAGCTGGTAACTGTACAAGAGGTGATTTATTCCTAATAGGTTTTTTCACCTCAACTGAGGTTTTATACGACCATGGATCACTACTATTATTAGTAGAAGTAGTAGGGGGACGAGGGGGAAGAAGGATTGGTACGTAAAGTGCTCGTCTTGCAGCTTGCGGTGTAACATGATGCCGCCATGGTCCATAAATACGTCGGTCTCGCCACAGGCATCCAGTGGAATCTGAAATCATTCAAATTGAAATGCTTGTATTAATTAGCAATGGTATAATATGTTTGTATGCAAATAAGTTAAATCTACAGATTGAGAACACAAATAAATTCAATGGAGAGACTCTTTTCAACAAAAAAATTAACTATCCAGGTTGTAAAATTGTATTATTATTTTATTGTTTCCTTTAATTCCTAGAGGAACATAGGGCTTCAGTCGCGCGTCTCCATTGAGTTCAGTTCTCTGCTAGAGTCTTCACCTGGCTCCATGTCTGCCCACACGTTTTCATCTCCTCTCCACATGACCTCCTCCAAGTCACCCACCCTCGCACTGACGACCAACTCGCCGATTCCCTTTCCGCCAGGTTCCACTCGAGCAATGGCTTGTCTAGTGATGTCACACTTGATGGTTTCCTCAGAGTATGGCCAGCCAATCCATCTCCATTTCTTCCTGCCTATTTGTTTCACAATCGGTTCCTGCTGTGTTGGTTCACTCATTGCCAGAGATCCCACCCTGTTGCTGATCTTTTCTGGCCGGCCATCTGATCTTGAGTGGTATTGAGCGAAGACAACTGTTAATGAAGGTCTGTAGTTTATTTGAGATGCTCTTTGTGACGCGCAGTGCAAGTCTCTGATCCATCCGTATAGTGAGTAGCACTGACTGACTTCACATTGGAGTTGAAAGTCCGGATCTTATTTTTGATGCTGAGTGATGTTGACCTCCACACAGACTTGAGAGTAGTGAAAGCTTGTCTTGCTTTTCCGATTCTTGCTTTGATATCCTCGTCAGTTCCGTTGGCCTGTAGTTGAAACGATGCTTCCCAGGTCGGTAGGTAAAAGAGGTTGTTTCTTTCAGGTTCCTCCCATTTATGCTGGCTGATCGTTGTCTGTTGTTGTTGTTGCTGTTGGCCAGGAATTTTCATCACCTCTGTGTTCTCTATGTTCACCTGAAGCCCTATCTTTGATGCTTCTTCTGTCAACTTGTTGCTTTTCGCTTGCATATCTCCCAGTTTGTGGGAAATCAGACATATGTGTAAAATTGTATAAAGATGATTTTTTTAAAAGAAATTCCATCCCATGAGGAAATTTAAACAAAGGTGTGAATACATGAAAATAAATAATGTTTCATTAGGGAGCACAACTTTTCTTCCTAAAGATCATGAAATCGCAGGGAACGGTTACCTGAACCGATTTATTGATAAGAACACGTAGGATAGATAAGCAGTCAAAACTGGTCACTGATTCACTTCAAAAGTAAGCCATATTTATGAATTAGGAATTTAAAGGTGATCTAGCTTCACATATGCTTAAAAAAAATTGTCTCTCTAAAGTAGTTGGTAAGGTGTTTCTTTGCAGCAAAACACCAATCGACCTTCACCAGATTGTTCTCTGACTCTGTAAAAGATAAACTCCTTTATTTAGCCACCTCTATGTGGATCGATCAATTCATCTGTTCTTGTGGGGCAAGACAAATAGGCACATAGCTCTAATCTAGGATACCTGATTGATTTCTCTGTCATTTTAGCAACTCCGACTATGATTTTAAGATTATTTATCGAATTTATGCTAACTTGTCGCATCTTCTTCGTTGTTGTAAAATTCTGAAGACAGAGGAGACCTCGGCTATTTTATTCACGAATTTAAGCCAGACTTTGGCCGTAGAGGGATAAACATTTCTTTATTTTGTTTCTCTAGTTAATCTGATATATGGACGCGCGACATGAACGCCAAACTGGGACCAGACAACACAGGAAGAGAAAAGTTCATGAAGAGATGAACGAAAACGGAGAACTCTTCGCTGACTTCTGAGCCTTCAATGAACTAGTGATTGGTGGCAGCGTATACAAGCACAAGGATATCCACAAGGCTACATGGGTGTCACCAGACGGGCGAACCAAAAACCAAATTGACTTCATCTCCAAGTTCAATACTCAAAAACTGAGGGATAGGGGGCCACAAAGGACATCTTCACTGCAAACATAAGGAAAAAAGCGGAGACACAAATCAACACTACCGAAGAGACCACCGTTAGAAAGCACTGGAACAACCTGAAAGCGGTGTGGAGCCACACCTGCATGGAAGAGACAAGACAAACAATGGCTCACCACAGATGCATGGAGACTAATAGAAGAGAGGAGGTTGAGACAAAAGATTATCCAGTGCATCGACGAGCAACAAAAACAGGAGTTGAATGCAAGCTACAATACACTGAACAAAAGAGTAAAGAAGAGTGCCAGGGAAGACAAAAGAAAATATTATGAAGCTATGGCAAGTGAAGCGGAGCAAGCTGCAGTGCAGGCAAAGAAGACTTCATAACACTCTACCAAACAACTAGGTTCCTATCGGGGAAGAGATCAACACAAATTAAGCCAGTAAAGGATGACAATGGAAAGTCAATCACCAAAGAGGTGGAGCAAAGGAAACACTGAGCTGAGCACTTCTAAGGCTCTTAAATCGTATGCCCAATTATACCAACGGCGGAAGCAGAACTACCAGTGGATACCAACCCTCCGACGAAAACAGAGATGCTGAAGGCAATTAAGATGTTAAAAACTGGAAAAGCAGCAGGACCACACGGAATCCCGGCAGAGGCATTGAAAATGGACCCAGAGACATCAGTGGACTTGAAGACACCACTGGTGGAGAAAGTGTAGAAAGAGGGTAAAGTACCTTCGGATTGGAAGGAAGGCTACCTATTCAAACTGTCAAAGAGAGGTGACTTAAGTCAATGCAAGAACTGGCGCGGAATTATGTTCCTGTCCATCCCAAGCAAAATACTAAGCCACATCATCCTAGAGAGAATCAAACACACCCTGGTAAAAAAACTTCGACCGGAACAGCCTGGATCCAGGAGAAACAGGTCATGCATCGATGAAATCGCAACACTATGGATCATCATTGAACAGAGCTTGGAACGGGAGTCAAATCTCTATCTCAACTTCATCGACTTTGAAAAGGCCTTCGACAGGCATAAAATGGATCCACACAAAAAACTTGGAGGATCTGCATCTGAATTTCGCCGATGATATATGTTTGATTTCCGACAAACTGGAAGATATGCAAGTGAAAAACAACAAGTTGGCGGAAGAAGCATCCAAAGTAGATAGGACTTCAGGTGAACATAGGGAAAACACGGGTGATGGTGAAGATTTCTGGCCAACAGCAACAACAGCAACAGACAACAATCAGCATAAATGGGAGAAATCTGAAAGAAGCAACCTCCTTCACTTACCTGTCTTCCTACCTGGGAAGCATCGTTTCAACTATAGGCGGACGGAACTGAGGAGGATATCAAAGCAAGGCAAACTTTCATTACTCTCAAGTCTATGTGGAACAGCACTCAGCGTGAAAAATAAGATCCGGATTTTTAATTGCAGTGTGAAGCCAGTACTACTGGACGGATCAGAAACTTGGTGGCGCGCCACGTCACGAAGGTACTTCGAACAAGCTACAGACCTTCATCAACCGCCGTCTTCGTTCAAGATCAGATGGTCAGAAATGATCAGCAACAGGGATCTCGGAGAGCGAACCAACGCAGCAGGAACCAAATTTCGCAACAAATGTGCAGGAGGAAATGGAGGTGGATTGGCCATACTCTGAAAAAACAAACCATCAAGTGAGAGACATCACACGCCAGAATCTCTCTCTCGAGTGGAACCCGAACAGGAAGGGGCGAGTTGGTTATCAGTGAGAGGGTCACATGGAGGAGATGAAAGTATGTATGCAGACGTGGAGCCAGGTGTGAAAACGCTGTCAGAGAACCGAACGCAATGGAGACGTGTGGCTGAAGCCCTACGTTCCTCTAGGAACTGTCTTTCAATACTACTACTATTATTAGTTTATGTATTTACACTTTTGTTGAAATTTTCTCACGGAATACAATTTCTTCAAGACCATCTGTATACTATGATTGTACAACTTTGATAAGAATAAATTCTTTATTGACAAGATTCTCTTGACTGAAAATATTGTGCTCTTAATGTTACAATGTTTGTTGTTTTTTTTCCTTCACGTTCCCCAATGGAACATAGGGCTTCAAGCTAGTGGCTTTCCTCTTCACCAGCATTATTTCTGGCTTAGCGAGGTATAGGAGTGCGTCAGCCGAGGATCAAACCCTGGACCATGTGTATGGTCGGCGAGCGTCCTGACCACTATGCCACCGACGCACAATGTTACAATGGGAAACAGTAAATTATTGACAGGATCAACAAGGTTGTTTGTTTATCCAAAAATATTCCTAACAATTTTATCGATGAGAAATTTAAGTAATGAATTGGGATTATTTTGGCATGATTGATACCTAATGAATAATTGTACAGTGAAACTGCCTTCTTCATTCTAAATTATACTGTGTAATAGCTGTCAGGCGACAGAGGCAACAGGCACTCGAAATATCAACACGGAGTAATTTGTTGGATGGCGGCTGGCTAACAATGAAATCCACAGCATGGGAATTTCGTCCTAATTAAGGCTCGTAACCTGGACGTAGCTGCATTTCCCAGTGAGTGAGTGATAATATTTCCACTGACACTTGATTCTCTTCAACTGCTACCTACATCCTAGACATAATCAAATTATATGACTTCGAAAAAGTATAGGCGACAATTTCAAAGGCGATGTAAGTAGACAATAATTTAGTGTTAAAATAGTGACTATTTATATGGTAATTAGACAAAAGGGTGGAATTCAGATTTCTCTTGGAAACAAGAATAGACTAAAGAGGAGAGCGTTTACTAAATTCTCCGTTTTGAAGGCAACCAAGTCTCCTCAAGCGCAATCGCTCGACACCTACCTAATTGACCGACACACAGGACATACACATTGGGAATTACCCGGTAGGCTTTCAGAATAATCAATAAACAAAGAAAAGCATAGCTACTTCAGTTCGCAGAAGCCCCATTGCCATTGTCAACAGGTACTTTCTTGGGTCTAATTGGTACAGAAGAGAATCAATCCAAGGAGAAGTGTAAACACAAAGTAAGCATTAAACCAAACAATTATTCATTTGATGGTTAGGTGGTTAGTGACTGACTTTGTGCAGTGGAATCCACCAGGATAACGCACATTTCGTCCTATTTGAGACTCTTCAACTAGTGGATGTACCTGCATTCTCCACACTGAGTGAGTGAGTGAGTGATGGTGTTTCCAGCACGCGGGTTCGGACTCTGTGCCCATAGTTTCAAACTTTAGTCAAAGCGTTATCCACTTGGCCACTTGGCCCACAAGAACCACTTCGTTCTTGAGGAACGGGTCTTATTAATTAAATTGAACTAAATAATAACAATCATTCTTGTTCATAAATATTTTTGGCTCAAAATGGAATAGGGTTATTACTATTATTATTAGTATTATTATTTTTATTATTAAAAATGGCAAAAATGGTCACAATATAACAGCTGACAAGCAATCATGATGATATATAACACGTAATTCCCTAACGAAAGTGAACTCTTTTATAATTGATATTAATTCCTTTTCATATATATTCTGACCGATGAATAAAAATTAGGCAAGTTTGATTGTAAAACTGTGAGATATGGCAAAATTAAACTATCGGCATTGCATGGTTGGAGGCAATCGGCAGGAAGCCTTGCACCTAGTGAATTCAGGAGGGTGGGTGGGTGGGAGTCATTAGTGAAGTGAAATGATAAATGATAGATGAAATAATTCAATTTAGTAGATTTAGAAACTTAGTAGTGAGTTCAACTCAGTGAGTAAGGAAAACACAAAAGCAGATGAAGAAAACAATTACGGTTACCAGGTAGGGTAGGGTAGTGAGAGATTAGTCACACTATCTTTACGCAGTATGCGTAGGTTGGATGGAAGTCTCTTGATGGCTTTTCTTTGTTTATTGATTATTCTGAAAACCTGCCGGATAATTCCCAATGTGTATGTCCTTTGTGTCGGTCAGTTAGGTAGGTGTCGAGCGATTGCGCTTGAGGAGACTTGGTTGCCTTTCAAACGGAGAATTTAGTAAGCGCTCTTCTCTTTAGTCTATTCTTGTTTCCAAGAGAAATCTGAATTCCACCCTTTTGTCTAATTACCATATAAATAGTCACTATTTTAACACTAAATTATTGTCTACTTACATCGCCTTTGAAATTGTCGCCTATACTTTTTTGAAGTCATTATAGAAAATATGTTCATACACCATTTTGGCGCTTGTAGTTTGATTGTGCTTAGGATGTAGGCAGCAGTTGAGGAGAATCAATAAATAATGCACGAAATCAAACGAGCCGATATTATCAAACGCTGCAAAATATGTTTGTTCTTTCTTTCTTTGTTCAAAATATGACAAGTACTTTAAAAAGTTGTCAGCGTACAAAAATCCAGACATAATTCCCGGTGATATCATCATCAAGTTACCCTTACCTTCTGAATGATTCTCTTTAGCATCACCACCATCAGATGCTGCTCCTGCTGCTGCGGGTGTCACACTCTTAGTTTGACTGCTTTTCATCGACTGGGGAGATTTATTCCTGGCAAGTGTTGATGAAGTGTTGATGTTCAAACCTGTTTCTACAGAGCTTGAAGCTTTACTTGTAGAATTTTCATCATTTCTATGCAGATTCGTCAGTACAGGCCCAGCAGATAAATAAAGTTTTCGTGTAAAACGTATATTACATTTGTTATTATTACTACTACTACTACTACTGCTACTGTTCATGTAACCACCACCCACAACAATATTGGTGGAATAATTACTCCTGATTGGTTTATCATCAACAGGAATGTTCGACGGAAAATTGGAATTGCCATTTTCTGATAATTCATTGAACAAACGAGGTCTTTTAACACCTGCCGGGGAATCATCATCTTCAGCCAATGAAACTGTAGACCTGTTGAGGAGAAATTGTTTTTTTTTTTAAAAAAAGACAAAAAAACAAACAAAGAAATTAAAGCTTCGCAACATTAGAAAAAAAATATATTTTAATAAAAAACCACAAAACTTGGTACAATAGGGTACCACAAGAAGATGCACCATACAATACTACTACTACTACTACTGTAAACAAGAAGCCTCTTTATATACACGGCTGCAATTCAAGGGCGATCGATATACCAAGTGAGATAATTAGGAGGAAATTAAGAAAAAAAATCAGTCCAAAGAACTTTGAATGCTGGCGGCGAACTACACATCTTATTCTCTACACAATCGATGGTGCTACCTCGACTGAAAGATGAAGTACCTAGAATAGCTCGCCACTTCAAATTGTATCTACCAATTCAACTGTAACTGTGTTTGTGGTGGAGCGAGTTATATTCGCCGTTGTTGCTCTAGGAACTTGATTTTTCGTGCTCACACGAGAACATCTCCCAGTATGACTAAGTGAAGGTGTAGTGAAAACCATCATGAACAGTTCGATATTGAACCATCTAGTGCAAACAGGGGCCGGCCGGCCGGCCACAAAGCCAGCCAGAGTGGAAGAATCCTTCTCTATCATCATCTATCGGGTGTCTAATAAGTTGGAAAAATCATCATTGAAGCACCGAATGCACCAAACAGCAGAGGCTATTGCAATTCGCCTCAAACAACCAGTGCTCTGTGTGTGAAGAAGAAGCAAGTCCAGTCACTACTACTGCCTTAACCAGCCTTCAGTAGAGACTAGAAATTCACGAATTTGTAATATTATCTTCCTTAATTTTCCTGACATTCAGTTTATTTTTGTGTTGAACTATACTGAACTGTAATCCATTGGTATTATTATTATTGATTCAATGTTATTTAAACAGCATTAATGTTGTTCATCACACTAATTCATTCCTTCATTCACTATAATGGATGGATATATAACTGTAGAGCCTGATGATGATGATGAAGGGGTTAACGAAAAGAGTATTTATTCTTTGTGCAGTATCCCTTCTTTTGATTCGATGCGTTTAGGAGTAGAAAGCTTGTCAAACACTAACGTGATTCACTATTTGATCCACACGACCGACTCACTTCTAAACCTTGGCTGGCTTTAGCCACACAAAAAAAACGCCAGTAAAAAGAGGGAAGGTCGGCTGTGAGACTAGTCAATCTCTTCCCCTGTGAAATAAACTACTTCTGCAGCAAATTCAAAGCTCTACGCTGAAGGCCTATACTCAACTCGTAATACAAACGAATAAAATATATAAAGCAAAAGTACACAGAGTGTTAATGAATTCATGAATTTTATATGTTCCGAATTGCTGTGAGCGAATTGCATAAATAGAGTTAATTAAACATGTGATGAATTCTATTTAAATATATATACATACAGAACAGAAACAGAGAAGGAAAGACTGTAACTTAAGAGAACAGATAATTTACATTCCGAGAGAGAAATCAATTGCATATAAATCATGGTGATAAAAGCAATCGAAAGTTACATAGATAATCATTCGAGACGGTCGGTCGGTTTTCGGCATAGAACTTTGCACATATGTGCGGCAGTTCAAGTCGCCACACTCCCTCCACTCCATGTAGCATACAAAGCAAGAGAAGAAAGTAGAAGAAACGCATAATAGAGAGACAGTAAACAGAGGTTTGGTGAGACAAAGGAATAGTAATAATGAAGAACGAAATAGTTTCATTGGAAATCACAAGTCACAAGGAGTGGATGCATCTATACTATGCATTGAGAACGATTTTGAGCCGGCCATGTCACCAATTGTTTCCAGCCTTCATTGGTTTTTACCGTCCCGAAGACCCCAACCAGTCAGGAAGTCTACACCTTTCTACGTGTGCCAGACTAACTGTTGTGGATTTCATTGACTGGTGAAGCTATGTTTTCGTTTGACCGCCGCTAGCTCTCTCTTTTCCAGCCTGACCCTATGTCAGCTTACATTGCCCATTGTCGAGGAAGCCGATGACTAGGCATACGTAACACCTAACCATCCATCTCAGTCGATGCAATTTCACAGCCTCGTCAGTTGATTCCCCCTCCTCCTCACCTAGCACTCGATGCCTAACCTTAATATTTATTCGAGACAACCAGTGGTGTCCTTGTGTCAGCAAACGATGCTCATTGTCCACACTTTTGTTTAATTTCATCATAGAATTAATTATTCCTAGCCGACTTTAGAGACTCAGGGATTGACTACTCGTTACCACCAGCGAATAATAGTCTCGCTGACTTAGAATATGCGGATGATATATAGTCGTGCTCCTAGGTGAAGACGCTGACAAAAAGCAGTTGAGTCTACTGAATTACCTGGAGGAGAAGCTAGTGCGTTTATTTTAGTGATATAGCGCCATTGACTGACTGGTTTCAATGTAGAACTACTTTGCAAAGATGTCCAGCAGCAGTTCCGATAGCCACACTGCATCCATGTAGCATGCAAAGCAAGAGAACACAGTAAACAGTGATTCACAGGCGAAAGAGATAATTAAGAGAAGTATGCGTGAGACAAAAAGAATACTAATATGGAAGAACAACAGCAGAGTTTTATTGAATATGATAAATCACAAAGAGTGAATGTATCTGAGCCAGTGCCAGTCATCATCGGGACCGATTTTGAGTCAATCATGTCACTAATTGTCCCCAGCCTTCACTTCATTGTTTCTCACCACCATCTAGAGGACCCCATCCAACCAATCAGTCAAGCAGTCTACACCTTTTACGTAGATTAAACTAAACTTAAACGCCTAACTTAAATATTGCTCACTGTGTTACACGTGCCACCTAACACGGGAGACAGAACACAAACACCTATGATCAAACACAGCTAGCTAGCTAGCCAGCCTGTCTTTTCATGTCTTCCACTTTCAGTGGCCATGCCTCACAGCCAACCAGACATAAAGGAGGACAGAGCGAACTGTTGCTGAGCAGCTCACGCGTCCTTTGATCGATAGCCAGTCAGTCAGCCGGATATCACACCTACTAAGCGCGCCGGAGATGGCGTAAGTTGGGTTAGCTGAAAAATGCCAAATGAGCCACCTATGTTCGTGTGCTGAGATTTCGTCTGCGATCAAACCTCTGGCATTGGGCCGGGCTGATGCAACTCCCCATATAAGTCAAGTGGTCAACACGCTCAGCCAGCCGGCCACCACTTCACTCCTGCCTGTCTGTCTATCTTTAAGCTAGGAGTAGTCGATGTATTCCAGTCCTGTATCATTCATCATCTTACATTTGACAGCAGGAACTAATGGCGCGGCCTAGTCGTCGGCTTCCTCAACGGGGAATCTCACCTTTAATACGATCAGGTTGGAAAACACCCAGTGGTAGTCAAACCAAAGAATGGAATCATCACATCATTCACACCCAACGCACAGTCTGACAAATAATCTAGTCAATCACAATAAGGATAATCACCGTTGGTGATAATAGGCAGTCTTGTATTGCTTTTGCATCCACTTCGAACGCACTGAATTCCACTACGAACACAGTAGGGTGCAGCAGGTTGAAAGTGAGGCAGTATCTCATCGAGAAAAAAAACACTGTGAAGTGGCAGAAGTTAGAGTTCATGGACTGGCCATAGGATCGGGTGTCAGTGCCTAAATGGTCTACGAGCTAGCTTGCCTTGTAACCAGATGGTCGTGGATTCGAGACCCGATGGGTGCGTAGTGGTGAAGAGTACAAAACTGGGACGAAACAAGTTTTCCAATGGTTCTCTAACTGATGTCAGTGCTCATGATGATGAAATCCTCGAACCAATCAAACAACTGAAAATTACTACAACAAAACCAATACTTGAGAACACAATAATTAATTATTACAAAGTTACTGACAACACAGATAACTCTTCGCACTGAAGTCACCAAATATCAATCCAGCTGCTCAAAAATTATGTACAACATATTATGTTCAGCAAGCATTCACGTTACACAGTGTTCTATATAATCAATCGATCGATAAATAAACAACATTCCATGGGTATATGACAAAATACGTCAACACGCAGATAGACTTTTTACACGTACACGAACACACACACACATAGCGTATTTTAAAAGTAGTTCAACATAGCAGAAATTCTGCCGCCAAAAGAGAAAAGACACATACACGCACACAACTAGACTTCAAAATCTGTTTGTAAAACAAACTATTTTTTTCTTAAGTTAGTAGACACACCACTATGGATAAGATTTTATTTTGGTAAACTGTCACACAGTGTGGTGTTATACAGTAATATTAACTGATGGCGTTTCGAGCACTAGCCATTGCTTATAATCATATCAAGTTACTCACACAACTTTTTTCCTCCATTTATATACATGTGTGGAATTCATGATTAGACATTTGAACAAAATCAGTAATATAAGATGAAGCACATTTAGAAATAATAATAATATAAGTGTTATTGATCAATTACAATCAGATGGGAAATACGACAAGTGTTTTTATCGTCTAAATATGTAACTTGTTAGAATGTTGTGATGTGCTTGAATTGAATAATAATAAAGCAGGAATTAAGGTGGCATTCAAACCTACAAGCTCACTCAGGGACAAGCTCTGTAGGCTAAAAACTCGGTGAACCCTATTAGGCAAAATAATATAATTTACAAAATACCTTCCAATGACTGTGAGTTAGTTCGACTAAATAGGTCAAACTAGTAGATCAGGGGTAATCAGATTGTCGGAACATAAGAATTTAGCTAAGGTAAGAATGGTTGACCTCGAAAAGATAAGTAATTTAGAAAGGCAGAGCTCAGCAATACATTGAACTGCATGCATTCATTAACACATAACTACACAATAGCATGGTGGGAGAGGGTTAAGATTCTAAGAAGTAATCTATGTGGGTGGAGAGCGAGAGAGGTTGATTACTGAATCCTGGCTGGTTCATCGAGTCTACACCCAACACATGCAACAGAAATGACTCAGTGCAAATACCAGAAATATGGAAGATATTATTACCACCAGTCAGTCAA